AAATATTATCTTCTATATACGTGTTACAAGTCGTTTCGATGGCTCACTTTGCGTGAACAGTTTTTTTTCCCGGAAAATGAAAATCAAATGTTTTCAGTCGCAGCAGTCTGCGTTGCAATGTGCGACACGCAATCACCGAAACCCAGTATCAAGGACTCCATCTAAACGCAACTGAACGTGTAGATTGTGTTCGTACTCAAATGGGAAGGTGTCGGGTCTGTAGAGTCGGGCAGTGTGCGACATGCTTAATCTTTTCACAACTAGTTTCCTCTATTCATCAAATATCCCCGTTTATAGTCTGCATTTTCCTTCAGACAATTGGCAAATATAGCCAAATTTGTTTAAGTAAAAAATGAAAGTTGACTCAAATTTTGTCTGTTGGCTTCAATATTAGAGTTAATTTTCAGAAATATTGGAGAATGTAAGAAAAAAGTACAGAAAAATTTGAGCGAGGAATTATGGTGGTGAAAAGGCTAAGACTAGATTCTCAGAACACGATTATTTCACATTCCCAATTTCCTTCAACATTGCCACGACAACTGCGCATAACCATGGAACGTTAACGTAATGCTATCCACGCAATTATTTGTACATGTTGTTTAACTGCAAGTTATATTATCACTTGCTATAAAAACGTTGATTGAATTTAAAGATCACATGACTTGATGGATAGATACGGACAGAAATGAACATTACTATTTTTTCACAAAGGAATGCAAGCAAACATTCGTTTTAATTCTATAAATCTTACATTTTGATTATCGTAAACTATTTTTTATGCATTCAGAATTGAATCATTCTATAATTAAAAACTTTTTTCAACAAAGACCAAAAGCTGTTGTGATTTTAAAGAAGTTATAACATTGATGTAGTGCATAAATAATAGGAACATCTAAATAGGAACCATGTTGGGTAACTCATTTAAAATCCCCTTTTCGGCGCAATATAACAGATATGGTTTCCAGAAAAGAGTTATAAACTATAGAATATCGCCGACGTGGATGTCTATCGTGCTGTTTTAATTTAAAGCCTGCTGTGGAACGAAGATTTATAAAAACGAATCCGACATGATGTACCAGTATCAGCGCCGTACACTGGTGTCACGGTGTGTATGTAAGTGTACACTGCCCTCACCTGTCACTGTCATCCAGTTTTCGTAATGCTGCCTTTAATTTCCATTTTTACGTGGTGCCTCTTTACCAGTAGCGTTCAAACCCACAGCTTTCAAGCGGCTATCGACGTGCGTACTGGCGATGATGATGCAATGGAGCAGTATCCATGGCAATTTGATTCACCGCCACTCCCTCCCCCACCTGACCTAGAACAATCACCACTGGAGGAAGTCGAAGATTCAGAGGAAGTGAAACGCAATGTTCAAAGTTAGTTGTAGTTTTTATATGTAATTTCTAAGTATAACAGAAATGAAATTCTCTTAAAAATATGTTAAAAAGAGAGTGAGTTTTGAGGAATTTCTTCACTCGGACCGTAATCATCACCAACAGTTGGTTCCTCGCATACCCGATAAAAACGATATGGCTCAGAGGTATTTTGTAGATTTTTGAACACGGCACCGCAGCCGTGTATTCTACTATATTACTTTAATTCACCTTTCTTTATGCAGCCCGACAATCAACTTATGACTACGCCGAAGTTCTTCAAAAGTCAATGTTGTTCTACGAAGCTCAGCGATCTGGGAAACTACCAGCAAACCATCGTATTTCGTGGAGAGGGGACTCTGGCCTCTACGACAAAGGCGAGAATGACGAAGATTTGACAGGTGGCTACTACGATGGTAAGCTTTTTTTAAAATCACGTTTATTCAGAATCGTCGCGCTGCGGATTTCGTATGAACAATTTGTAATTAACTGTTGTTACTTCCGTAGCCGGTGACCACGTTAAGTTTGGTCTACCGATGGCATATACCATTACGGTTTTAACTTGGGGGTTAATACGATATGAAGATGCGTATAAAGCCGCTGGTGAGCTGGATAATATGTATGATGCTGTCAAGTGGGGCACTGACTACTTTATAAAGGCACACCCATCGCCAAATGTGTTCTATGCGCAGGTTAGTGGAGACAGTCGTATGCATTAAAGCAGGGGAGTCGTCACCTGCGCATGCGTCATATGGCCATAGCGTGTCATTGCTTACAAACAAGCGTCTACCCAACAGCGCTTTTAGTGTGTGTTGTTATCTTTATGGGACTCAATTCCCGCGCGTGCGCAGGTGACGACACTCCCGCTTTAAGGATATCCGGGCACTTTCATGTGTTTTTCTTACAATATATCTAATAGACCATTTCTATATGACACCTAAATAAATCGAAATGCAGCTAGTTGTATTTTTGCCTGTCTGCGAAAAGAATGGGTGCTGGATAGCGTAGGGTATTTGAAAGAAGAAAAAAGTATTGTTCAAAGGGGCCTGAAATGTTGCCTATGTTGCTATTTTGTGTAACTGTGTATGTGCCCTTTCATGTAGTTTCTCTTTTGAAATGAAGGGTTTTATTTTATTTTTGTATCTGTTATATGACGACTTTCACACAAACAATCAGAATTCTAAATGGTCCATATATTTTCTTACTTGGGATGCAATGGAATACATAGTAGAGTAGTTAGCAGAATTTTGCCTATATCGCCGTCGTCGTTGTTGTTTATCCGATCGTTTTTATGAAAAAATAATATTTCAAAGTAATCCTTTATTTCCACTAGTTTTAACGTGTACAACTATACTCCATCGCCATTAATGAATAATTGTATCATGCTAATTAGTTAATATAGCGGGCAGTCATTGGCTGATTGCAATGAATAGCTGATTTTCTGGTAATTCTCGGCTAATGTTCAGAAGATTCTTTTCATTGTCCTATGCTTATTTGAAAATTATGTTTATGAACTAGATTATAGTAAAATACCATGTGCTAATTTGAGTCATTATTGCACCAGTTTGCATTGAAATATCCTGTGCTGTTTAGATTACTTTCTGACGAGGCAAATCGTGCAGGTTTGTTTTACTAGCAGGCAATGATTTTATTCCTGAGTATTTTATTTTTGATATCATAAAGTTTACTGTGTAATGTTTATTTGTAAAAACATTCGGAAGTTATGCATCAAAACAATGATTAAGATCCGAATATTTAGATTCTGCTAGCTGCTTGCTTTTGTAAGAAATGGGCGATACTATTTAATCTAGTATGTAGGTAGACATACCATTTCTACTTAAGACAAAATATATATAAAGGGAGGTCCCCCGAAAATATTTCACACCTGCCGGAAAGGCTAGCTGACCTTGACAAATATTTTAATCTGATCTCTTCAGATTAACATTATTACTAATAAAACATAGTCATAGATCTATGCTTGTGTAAAGTTTTTTTGTGGGGCAATTCTCACTAATTGTGAGGGGTGCAATAAATCACATCCAAATAAATCACATTGAATGAAATAAAACGAATTGAAACATAGAAATCAAAGTAGTCGATTTCTTAACCATATTATGGCATTTGATTTAGGAGTTCCTTAGACTCCATTGGTCATGTACACAATGAATAACAACTCAGCACCAAGAATTTATTTTTTGGGTTGTGTTTTGACCTATATTTGCCGCCCCGCGTCGATGTGAGTACAACTTTTTATTAAGTGGCCCAGCCTGCAAGTTATTAACTGCCCACGTCCTATATTGCATGTCACAAACATCTTCGACCGCATTTTCACGCCCTTATGTGTAAAACACAATCTCAACTTCACAAATATTTTCTTACGCACCAAAACATAGACCATTATGACCACTAAAACATCTATCTAATTTGTTTCACTAAATTGCCAACTGTCATTCATTTCTAGTTTTATTAGCACCGCGACGTTTTGTGAATATAGTGACTGACATTCGAGTAGGTCCCCAGAGCCTAAATAAGTACGATTTTGCTACAAGTCTATGGGAGCAACCATAGCTCTTCTGTGTCGATAATAGTTCAGTACCCAACTTTAAGGACACGAAATGCAATAATAATAAGAAGAAGAAGAATCTTTATAGCATAATCGTATCCTTTTTTAGATATTGACTCAGAAAAAGTTACAATAAAGACGAAAAATTGAGGAAGTAGCGAAACGAAAGCGCTAAAATAGGAAAGAATATAAAAAAATAAAAAAATATTGTATTTATTTAGGAGCAGCTGGTAGTTTCTTGAAATGATTTTCTCTGGCACTAAAACAACTATAGATGTAGCTTGCTAGTTTTGATATTTTTTGGCTGTTATTGCTTGCTAGCGTTGTAGTCAATTTATTAGTATTAGTGTTGTTGCAATGTATTAAATTTATTTCGATCCTTCAACATTTCAGTTCTCTCATTTTCATACAAGCTTGCATGAAGTAAGAAGTGTATTTCGTCTTCAATCTCATTTTGGTCAAGCAGTGCGAGGATTGCACTTTCTACCACTGCAAGGAATTGTTTTTGTATCGTCCCGGGCTTTCTCTATTTCTAAATTCTGGGTGTTAATTCTATGTTTTGCATTTGTTATTTTTGTTAGATAACTTTCATACTGGCAATTTTTCTTTAGCAGTCTATATGTACGCAGCTTAGTATTTTGTTTTTTGTTTTTATTATCATCATCATGCATTTTGTTCTTGACACTTTTTTCCGAATACTTTTTTGAGTTTAATGCAAATCGTGTTGATTAGATTGGTGTTATACTTTGAATCATTATTTTCCTATGACTTATCCATTTCCAGATAGTGCAAAATATTTTTGATACCAGATACCCAATTAAGCATACCTTTGTATCAAAAATGACTAAAATATTATTACATGGACAAAAGATTGCATCTTTTTAAATATTTGGATTTGTAGCCCGAGTAACAGATCGAAAATGTCAATACAATCTCTGGCTGCGATGAAAATCTTAGTACTGTCCAATTTTGATCGTGATGCAGCTATAACGAACAATTTGACTTGACAATGCATTGACGAAGATATCTCTAGTATTGCCACAGAGGGCGCACGTTTGCTATATAACATCTTCCAAGGTGTGTTGGTGAGGCGATGACCAAATAAACGTACCTTTGCTGACGAAGATGTCAGTGTATGTATCATTGGGACAATTCAAAAATCACTAATTTGCATATCAATAGATTAAATAATCAAATTGTAATCAGAGGCATGCAACTGAAACTGTTGTCAATTTTAGCAGGAGTTTTACATGTGTTGTTTATATTTTAGGTTGGCAGTGGTGCCATTGATCACAAATACTGGGTTCGACCAGAAGATATGACTATGCCACGGCCCACAACGAAACTCGACAGCTCAAACTGTGGCAGCGATATTGCTGCCGAAACAGCGGCTGCACTGGCAGCGGTTTCCACGGCATTTAAAAAACGAGGTATGCACCTTAGCGGCAATGGCGTACTCGCCTTCTTTCAAACCTGTCTAAAACATTCAAGTTGTGGCAGCAATGCACAACATCTTCTCATCAGATTTTTCATATTTCCACCTAATGTTCAACACTCATCACCAAATACATAGAGGAAATATGTATTGTGAAAAAAAAAACTTTTTATATGCGGTCTCTCTCATTCAAATATTCTCCGTCTTATTAAATTCAAAATCACGCTGTTCTTAGAATTTTACCTGACATTGATAATACTACGTAGTACGGTGAATTTTACCTGACATTGATAATACTACGTAGTACGGTGAATTTTGTTGCTTTCAATGAATTTGTCTTAGACCCGGCCTATTCAGCAGAATGTCTGAAGCACGCCGAAGAATTGTTTACCTTTGCCGACGAATGTCGTGGACTCTTCAATGGCAAATACTATCAGTAAGTATAACATTATGGTCGTTTTCAGCCTTTGTCAGGAAGGTTGTGGGCTCGAACCAGCAGTTGACATTTACTCAGCAGTAAGTTGAAAACAGGTAGGTATAAAAGCTGCTAGGACGATACATATAGACAATAGAACGTCACGTGGTTGTTATGTGCCCCTTCGAGCATAGTACCGGAACGCTTTAAACATAATGGCTAAGAAGTGTGACCCTATTATTTGTAGCCTCCATCCACTTCCAGGCCACTGCTTGTAGTGATTACATACCCACTTTAAGACCAACATATAGGATGCCAAACGTAGGTCAAAGTTCAAAACACGTGACCAGAGCGGTATCAACAAGTATGAGTCGGGTAATCAGCGCGATACCGAGAGGGAGGTGGCTCCCGAATAAACGTTTTCGCACGTTTTTCCCACTCGGGATTTCGGGAGATTTCTCGAACTTTTTATATTTGAAAAATAAACTGCCTTCTTAACAGTGACCATGATTGATACCCACTTCTATACCAACTGGAATGAAAAAGATACCCACTTGGGCGGCACATACCCGTATAGTGGCCAGGGGTGTCCAAATATGTAATGAGTAACGAATATATTGTATCCCTCGGTCACGGTGAAGTCGATGTCTGTTACGCACAATAGGCATCCATGTTGGATGTCATAGATCTAATATTATATCTTGATACATGATAGTTGTACCGATTCTTTCAAACTATTACAGTAGATGTAATAAGTTAACTTATTTAGTTGCTTAATTTATCACTCACAGTAGCGACAAATACGGCGACGAGCTGGCATGGGCAGCTGCCTGGTTATACAGGGCAACCAGTACAAATGCATGGAAGAACAAAGCAGCACAATTGTGGAACAAATACGCCTGTAATGGAATACCATATTCATTTGGTTGGTCAACCAAGAATGTCGGTGTTAGCGTGAGTAATATTCATTTGTATAATTTACAGCAATAGCGTTTTCCGTAACTCCAGCGTGCTGTTAAAATTGGTCAATACAATTTCACGAAGTCTTTGAAATTACTTTATATTATCCGAATAGACTGTTTATCGCCATACAAGGTCGTATGTGAAAAAATGGGATCATAGATCAAATACCATGGTTACATAAATTAGTGGAACAGTTAATGCAAACACACTATTTGACAGACAAAATTATAGTCTCGCGGCATTCTCGCACTCAGCGAGGTTTCAGAGGCCATTCAAGTTTGCGTCTAAAGGTCTTCAAATACACGGTACTCGAAACCATGGCAACGCCATATGCATCCCCGAAGGAATATAAGTAGGATTACTCATTGATAGATTGCAGGTCGTTGAACTGTTGTGTACTTGTGAAACAATTTGCCAGACATTGAATATGATAAAAAATATGTGGTTTGCATTTGTGTCCACAGCTTCTTATGTTTGAATTGACTGGAGAAAAAGAATATGCTAAGAGGGTAAAACCATATGTTAACGCATGGTTGCCGGAAAACGGTTTTGATACTACACCTAAAGGTCTAGCCTTCCGTAGCAAATGGGGCCCTCTGCGTTACGCAGGTGAGAAGGATTTCTGATTTCGATTTGACTTGTTTTGTTAATTCAACACTTGTGTGAACGGAAGGACGCACGCACGGACAGACGGACGGACGTATGACTGTCTGTATATATATGTTCTGAATTATCGCTGACTCGTCGTCTTTTTCTTCTAGCGGGCACAGCTATGATTGCTTTGATTGCATCTGAGCTCGGATTACGAACTCCAAAATATAAAGAATTTGCAACTCAGCAGATTCACTATATGTTAGGGGATGGAGGTAGAAGTTACGTTGTTGGATTTGGAGAAAATTTCCCCAAAAGCCCTCATCACCGAGCAAGGTAAGGTTTAATAACGTAACTCATAAACCACATGACAAAAACTAACCCAATCCAATCCAATCCTCTCGGCGTTTTTTTGGTAATTAAAATAGAATCACAACTTTCAGTTATTTATTCAAGAGACGGCGACAGTTTTCCCCGAATTACAACGAGAGAGTTTCATTCTAGTTCTAGACAATGCTCTAGTATTCAGGCCATTCTGTCAAATAAGTATTGTGTAGTTTGATTTAATTCACAATAACTGGAATTTTATGAATGACAACTTACACTCACAGTAATAAGCTTTGTCATGTATGTAGCTCCTGTTCGGACACAATATGCGGAAATGCTGCATTGAATTCGGCCGATCCAAACCCTAACGTGTTGGTCGGAGCATTGGTTGGTGGACCCGGCGAATATGACAATTACAATGACAATAGAAAGGACTATGTTAAGAATGAGGTGGCGTGTGACTATAATGCTGCTTTCCAGACTGCAGTAGCAGGTATGTGTTTGTCGTCAATCCGGTTTAAAGGGCGGTGGTCGTCGCGCTGCGCACGTGAGACATTTGTGTTGATACATATTGGTTTTCCCCACAATCCAATGCGCTCTTCTAATGGAAATCACAAGTATGAGGTTCGACCCGGGCGCGACTTGCACTGATTACCGCCGGTGACTCTTTCGATACCTTCCAATCACCTTAAAATACCCAATTAAAGCTTGGTAGCCTCTCAGTTTGTATTCGTTGATCTGCGCAACAGTCGAAGTAGCCATCTTTGTTTATATGAGACCCATATATCAAGCGCATGCGTGGTGCGACGACTGCCGTCCTTTAAGAAATACTAGCAGTCTAGATTCGAGTTTAGCGCCCTCTAGCGACATTCGATGCGACAGGATTATGACTTTTACCATATACATAGTTATATGCCAATTGATTGGTTATGGAACATAACATACATACACATAGATCACCCCCACCCTCCAAAATATGCCACGCCCCCTTCTGAGGTCATGTCTCTAACTGAAGCATTAAATCCCAATAACAGAATGTACCCCGGCAGTACATTCATATATTAAGAATTCTTTACACAGGCTGGTCTTTTATTCAACTGAGGTTACATCGGTCTCAAAAAAGGTGTCAGTCACTCTTTAAAAATCAAGTCTGAAAGTTCTCCATTTTTTTATTCTGGACACTGTCACACACTTAAAATGTCTTTTAAAACTGATTTAAATTCAACCAAAACTTTTTACTTGACAAGATGCACGATTTGTTCAACTGTAACACGGAAAATAATAAATGATAAATAAAAATGAATGAATGAGTAGAAATCAAATACACTTACCTATCACTACAGTACCTATAGTCAGACAGCTTGCATTCAAAAACAGTAATAAATCGAAACAAATTTGTCAAAACAATCTTCCCAGTAAAATCAATGGAAAATCCAACAATGTAATTATAATTAAAAAAAACTAACCCGTTGCTTGAAAAGAGGGAAGGTGTCGCATACGACTTGTTTACCACTTCCGTGTGACTGAGAATGTTCTAGAACCGTACTGTGTCTGGGTGGAATTTTTAGAAACTGGTTGAATAGGTAATGGAACATCCTAGAAATTTGTAGTAAGTTCCAGACTCATTGTGTATGCTGATGTAATGGTCTATTTATAGACAGTGTGGGTATATATAGGGGAGTTGTTCAGCACTGAGATCAGATCGGAGATCTCGTTGAATTGTATTGGAGTTTAAGTATCTAGTTATTGGAGGTTTGGAGTTTTACCGAGTTATTGTACTTGATGTTTGCAGCGTATAATAATACCAGTACCAGTTGAAACCTCATCTGTTGGCTCCGTGTTCGTATGTTATCATCGCCGCCAGAGAAGTCTTTATGTTACTGTTGCCATTTTGGTATTTGAACCATCACACCTGTACTATACCAATTACGGTAATATTACGTTGCGTGTGACCGGAGGTAAAAAGCTGGTTTTAACATAAGAAGATGTGAGTCCTCCTCCAAGAAAACGCCATCTAGTGTTTAATGTTTACATCCCATAA